TCCTAGATCGACAACTTGCATTTTCCTTGGTTATCCCTCTCATCACCGAGGATATCAATCTCTAGACATTCACAGCCTTAAAATAAATATCTCTCGGCATGTTGTCTTTGAGGAAGAAGTTTTTCCTTTTTCTAAACCATCTATCTCTAACACTTCCTTTGAATTTCTTGACTCCAACACTGAAAGTCCCATCTTTTGAATATTGTTTGAACATCCTATTCCAACTCCAACGACGATGCCAAGTGCCCCATCTATCATACCACCACCTTCACATGCCCCACTTGTCCAAAATCCTCCACCAATATAACCACAACAAACCCAGATTCAACCAATACCCCAACACCAAATATTTACCAGAAGCAACCATGGTATAGTCAAACCAAAACAACATTTCTCCCTTGCTGTTAATTCAATTTCACCTCTTCCAAAAAGTCATAACTATGCTTTAAATGATCCAAACTGTCGACCAGCTATGCACACGGACCATGGTGCTCCTATTAAATGTGGGACGTGGGACGTGGGACTTAGTTCCTCGGCCTCTCGGAGTTAACATTATGTGTTCTATGTGGCTTTTCAGGCATAATTTTTCATGCATATGGTTCTTTGGCTTGTTACAAAGCACGACTGGTGGCAAACGTCAAGTCACAAACTCCATGAGTTGACTGCAATGAGACGTACAGTCTGGTAGTAAAACCTGCCAAAATCCGCCAAGTTATTCATCTCGCCCTTGGACGTGATTGGACACTTCATCAATTAGATGTCCAGAACGTGTTTTAACATGACGATCTTGAAGAGATGGTTTACATGCACCAACCATCCGGCTTCTCAAAAAATCGTTACGGCCTGAAAAAGGCTCCCTTGTGCATGGTTTCGGCGGTTCTTTCATTATATCTTATGCATTGGATTCACTAACAGCAAATGTGATCCCTCTTTGTTTATTTATCGACAGGGAAAATATATGGTGTATCTTCTTTTACATGTGTGGATGATATCTTTCTCACAGCTTCCACAAGAGACCTCTTACAATGCATCATAAAATCACTTGCTGGTGAATTTTCTATGACAGACCTTGGTATGTTTCTCCACTTCCTTGGGATCACGGCATAGTAACAATGAAGGAGTTCATTTATTGCAAAATCAATATGAAATTAACATTCTTCATTGAGCTGGAATATCAAATTACAAGCCAAGTCTCACACTAGTTGACAACAAATCAAAGCTTGCTGCCGACAAAGGACCATCAGTTGCTGACTTCACTTCTTATCGAAGCCTTTCTAGTGTTCTGCAATACCTCACTATTACTAGACCGGACATCACTTATGCAGTCCAACAAATCTGTTTATTCAAGCATGACCCGTGGGAACCACACCTTACTGCTCTCAAACGTATCTTACGGTACATTCAAGATACACTTGAACATGGTCTCCAAATTTACAAATCTTCTGATATGCAGATCACAAATATTCTGATGCTGATTGGAGTGGCTGCCCCACAACATGCCGCTCCACTCCTAGATATGCCATCTATCTCGGCCCAATCTCATCTCTTGGTCATCAAAACGACAACCGAAAATCTCACACTCTAGTGCTGAGGCAGAATACCAAGATGTGGCCAACGTCGTTGCTGAAATATGTTGGCTTTGAAATCTTCTTCTAGAGCTTCACTCTCAGCCATCACAGACGACTATCGTTTAATACGACAACGTCAGCTCAGTCTGCATGGCACACAACCCAGTAAATCACCAACGGACAAAACATATTGAAATCTACATTCACTTTGTCAGACAAAAATTTTTCTTGGGAGAAGTACATATTTTCATGTTCCATCATCTCACCAATATGCTGATATATTTAACAAATGTCTTCAGACAACACTCTTTGAAGGACTTTCGGTCCAGCCTCAACATTCAGACACCTCATGTTGCGACTGTGGGGGAGTGATAGCACAAGCAATATAGGAAACCATATCAATCTATAATTTCTTCATATCTCTGTGATTCTTCAATCACATTTCTGTAAATCCTCAATCATATCCCTGTAAATCATCTCTCATTACTCCTGATTGATTCTCTTTTATACTATTGATAACCTTGTAACTATGTTGAATAAGACATACAGAACATTACATTCTTACAAGGAATGGACGTAATCATGAAGATACTGCAACTCTTTCATAAAAAAATGATCAAATTTATTGAAAAATAGATTTGTAGCAGGCTATCATCAATCCGAGATTTGGGTGATAAAAGGTTTGAGAATGCTCTTCAGCTCTAGTTCTGGACACAATTAAACAATTCTTTTACATAATATTCATAACACTCTGTCTACTATCAATTTCTTGTAACGCCTATGTTGTAAAAACGCCTTTTTTGGGTTTAAATAAAATTTTATATTCAATTCAAAAAAAAAAAAAAAAAATTTTCATAACTCTCCACTGGCTAACCCAACAACTAAACAATTTTGTGTACCAGATTCAATCAATGAACCGTGTTCCAAGCTTTATTTTTTCTGGTCAATTGATACAAGCTCTACATATTTAACTTTAAAAAACTTCCAAATTGTCTCTAAACTGAAAAACCCTAACCTCTTGACTCTGTTCTGCGCAGTCCGAGGAGAAGTAGAAGAAAATCTGAAGTTTGATCAAAGTCTTGATGTCAAGCCCTGAGAAGAAGAGGAAGACGACGGAATCGATCCCAAATATTTCACTTCCCAATGATTTGTTATTGAGATGCATCACACACGTCTCAATATTATACTACCCGACTCTTTCCCTCGTCTCCAAGAGATTACAATCACTCATAGCTTCATCGGAGTTTTATAAGACCCGATCTCTCCTAGGCCACACCGAGAGCTGTCTCTATGTGGTCTTACGGTTCCCTCATAACCTTAACCCTTGCTGGTTCACTCTCTGTCGTATACCTAACATTACAACGAAGAAGAAGAAGAAGAAGTCAAGTGCCAATCTTTTGGTCTCAATCCTATCTCCCAATTCTGCTCATGCTCATTTGTCGTCGAATCTCGTCGCTTTTGGCTCCAATATCTAAAAAAAACTGGCGGGGACATTGACATGCCTTCTTCTAGAGTCTCTGTCATGGATTGTAAGTCTCACACATGGCACCAAGCTACAAGCATGCGGTGGACCGGAGCTCCTCATCCACAGTTAGCTTACTTGATGGAAATATATGTAGAATGAGGTTGCCATCACAGTTGCATGAACTGGATTGAAGTGTTTGATCCAAAGACACAAACTTGGAGCTCCCTACAGAACCCTAGTGTGGAGATACGTGAAGGAAGTGTACTCAAAAGCTTAGGACTAAAAGGAAAATTCTACCTCTTTGGGGATAAGATTGATAAGTGATATGTTTACAATCCCAAGGAAATTAGATGGAACCCGGTAAGATGTTTTAACTATATATGGTTTTGTTGATATGTAATATCACACAAAGGGGTAAAATAGTAATCTATATCGAAGTTCGGTTTGATTAGTTTTATTAATATCAGACCAAAAAATTACAACTGAGTTCGCTTATAAGATAATTATAAACGGACTTGGACTTAGAAATGAGGTGCCTTTAATATCTTAGCTCTTAATCTCTTTGTCTCTTATGGTTTTTTAGTGTCTTTGGGTGTTGATTCTTGTCCCCCTTTATTTGCGAATATAGTCGGTCTAATTTGGACTTTCCTTCTCCTTTTGATGTGGGATTTCCTTGAGAGTTTCCTTTTCTCTACGTCGAAAGTAAATTTCCTTGTTCCTTTATGAAGTTTCCACCAACTTCACCCTAATGGGCCTAGGTCGGCCCACGAGCTTACTCGGCCCAGTATCTCGGTACTCTGTCGTTGTTAACCAGGCTTACACTTTTCGAACTCGGTTTGTAACTGAAAAAATCTAGGGGTGCAGTTTTCACCTCCAACAAGTTTTTTAAAATATTATAGGTATTGCGAGATAGACAACATCTTGTTCTTTTTGAATTGTGTGCTGTTCAGTTGGTATGACTTTAAGGTTAACTTATTTGGAGCATTGAAAGGTGTTGAAGGCTTGCCTTATTTGGAGCATTGAAAGGTGAGGGTTGTAGAATGGTGGATTACGGTGGAAAATTGGTGGTTTTTTGGGAGGAGTGTGATGGCTATCAATTAGAAAATTTGATTTGGTGTGCAGAGATTGCACTTGAAAGACGGAAAAGACTTGAGATTTGAGGAAAGGTTGAGTGGTTTGATGTTGTTCTTGCAGTCCCCAAATCATGTAACTTGTTGGATGCTGATGCAGGGATGCTCTTTGTGTTGTTGTTTGATAAAAAGGACTACTCATGATAACCGGCTTAGAACGGTTAATGCAAGTTAATCTGTTTTCATAGAGATTTCTGTATTTATAAGTCTTCTTTCACTCGGTTTAATCTGTTTTCTCATAGCCTCTGTTTCAGCTTGTGTGGTGTTTAATTCTTTGCCTTTTGTTTCACTTGGCGATTCTAGTTTCTTGATCATTGGCATTTTTCCCTCGTTTTATTTTTCTTTGTAGGAATTGCAAAGGTAAACCGAAATCAAATTAAATTAAAACTAGGTTATTTAAATTAAAACCGATCTGTCTAACCTAAAAGTATTGGAAATTTAATAGACGATTTTTTCGCTTAGAACTCTCTTAATCTATTAGAGTCTTCGACCTCCTATTTTTATAGGCAAAATCTCCGGAGATATCATCGTTTTCTGCCGGCTTAGGAAACTTTCCTCTTTTTGAGAGTGGGTTTTTGGCAAGTTTTACAACTTTATGTGGTAGCCCTAGTTTCCACAAGATCTACACAGTGTTTTTTGTGGTTATACTTCCTTGACGGCTGTGTTCTTAGCCTAAGAAGTGCTGCTTCCCATGGATTTTGAGTTAAACAGAGCTCTCAAGTCGATGACTATAAACGAAGATAAACCTCTGATTCTGTCAAACCATCAGAAGTATAGATCTAGGGAGAGGAATGCTATGAGCATAATGGGTCGGATGCTTACCCTGAGTGTCAAAATATGAAGAATCTGATATGGGATCTGCCAAGAGCCTTTAACTTGGTGGGCAAGGTAAGAGGAGTGGCCTTGTCGCGAGACAGGTTTCAATTCTTCTTCAAGTATGAGGAAGATATAGAGAAGATTCTGAAGGTTGAGGTCTATACTCAAGATGACTGGAGCGTGGTTTTGGAAAGATTGATCGAGGAGCTCCCTAATGACTATCTTATGATTCTTCCGGTCTGGATATGGCTGTATGAGATCCCAGTTAACTTCTATACGGAGGTGACTATTATGGAGATAGCTGAGGAAATTGGACAAGTCGTGGAGATGGCTTTCGACCCTGAGAAGCCTCAAAGTAGTGGTTTTGTCAGAGTAAGGGTCTTATTCGATGTCTCACAACCGCTGAGGAATTATAAAACCGTTCAACTGCCAGATGGTAAAGTCGTTAAGATTCCCATCGAGTATGAGAGGGTCAGGAAAAGATGTTTCCAATGCCAACGGCTCACTCACGAGAAGTCTCGATGTCCCTGGAATTCACTGAACAAACATAAACTAGAGATAGAAAAGACTATTGATGCCCTGCCCTTACAGAAAAAACAGAGCACACCGTTACTACCTGATGATCCTCTGTTTGGTGTTCTCACTGATGAACAGGTTGGTCTGGATGCAAGAACTGGGCGATCTAAAATTAGCAAAGATGTTTTAGATGTCATGAGGCAATATTTGCAGGTCCAAGACCCAAACGAAAGAAAAGCTAGGGAACAAAGAGTAAGGCAGTCGATTGAGGATCTAGATGGTGATCTCTTGAAGCAAAAAACCCTGTTAAGACTTGAACCTGCACCTGTTATTACTACGGATGTGAATCACGGGAAGGGGTTAGTGTTCCAATTTACTGAAAATAATGGTGTTAGTAATAAAGGTGAGAAGCTGATGGATGTGGCTATACGAGCGGGTTCCAACCCGGGAGATGCTAGAATAACATGGAGTGGCACATCTCAAGAAACTGCTGAATCTTCATTAGTGGACTGTTCTACGAGTTTTAGGATTGGCACCTCTGGGGCTAGTTCTTACGGGACAAGTAGCACAAAGAAGAAGTTCAGACGCAGACCACAGTCGTCAAAGAGAAGAGAAGAAACGATGCTCAAAGATACTGAAGGTCTGAGTAAGGAAGTCGAAGCGAGTAGGGAGGGGAATTCTGCGGGTAAAAGAAATTCAGACGAAGTTGGAGTGATCTCAGCCAAGTGTGTCAAGAGAGATCAGTCAAAGGTGGATCAGGAAGATCCACCGACTATCCTATAGGTCTTTTGAGCTGGAATTGTCGTGGGCTTTGATGCGAGTTTGTAAACGAGGTTGGTTGTTTTCGTTTTACTAAGCTTCAGGTTTTAAATTTATAACCCCTAAATGTCTGCAAGTGCACAGATGTGCGCTGTAGTACTTAGGGTATCGATCCACAGAGACTTAGTTGTTTCAGTACGAATTCACTGCAACGCTTAAATCAGATTAGAACTAAACAGGTTTTGGTTTTGGTTTTGGGTTTTGGTTGTCACTAAATCTAAACTAGAAAGCAAAGAAAGTAAAGGCAATTGGAAAACGAAAGCAGGTAAAGCAATTAGAAAGCGATTAAACAAGAGGCGAATTGAAGCAAGTAAAAGCGAATGAAAGGCAGAATGGAAATCTAAGGTTGTAAGCAATTAAAGAAAAACGTTGGGGCTCAAGGGTATTTCGCAGGGGTTCAAGGACTTGGCTATGTCGATTTTAAACAAGTGATAAAGGTAATCAACTACGTATGTTCTAGAACTCGAGGCACGGAAGTATGAATAGCCTACTTTCGCAGCACTAAACAACTATCTCTCGCAACCCTAATCAGTAGGTTTCCACTCTGATTCTGGAAGGGAGAAGATGCAATAGCAGGACAAGACTCATCAATATTCACAACTCAACTACAGCTAGGTTTCCACTCCTATAGAAGAATTGCTCGTTTCACCCTAGTTCAGACAATCAATGAAAGCTTTCGCAACATATCATATCAGATCGGCTTCTAAGTGGCCAACAAAGAATCACGCAGTAAGATTAAAGGCAAACGAAGAACATCTAGAAGATTATAAATCCTAAATCTATCGATTCATAAGCAAAGACACATGAAATTCCCTTTGAATAATCCCTTTAAACCCAACTGGGTAACTACTCAAACATATTGTAAACAATCATCACAGAGTATTGAAAGTTGCAGGAAATTAAAGAAAACGGGGAAGAAGAACGAAGAACGGAATCGCAGGTGGAGGCGCGATGATGCTCTCCTCGACGGCTCCTCCTTCAAAAGCGGCGGCCATCTAGGGTTTTTGAGGCACCCACACGAAATCTCTCTCTCTTTCTATCTTATGTCGTCTCCACACCTTTAGGAATGACCTAAAGGGGGTATTTATAGCTTCTGGGGTGGTTCTGGACACTTATGGCTTCAAAAATAACGAAGGGAATTGATCTGGGCTTTAATTAAGTCGTCGGGAAAGTGAAAGACCAAAGTCCGCGGTCGCGGTGGCTCTACCCGCGGGAAAATGGGTGTTGGCCGCGGTCCCGGCACTTGCTCTCTTCCGGAACTGCATTTTCTGTCATTCTTGCATCGGAAGTATCTGAAGATCTAACCGTTGGATTGTCTCCAAACTAAGTGCATTAGAAAGCTGGTTGGATCCTCTATGCTGTCTCAAATTTTGGGGGTGATCAGACGGTGAGAAGGTCTTCATCGCTTGTCATACTTCTGACGGTCTGCATTTATCCAAAATTGCTCATTTGTTCCAAATTGCATATCTTTTGCCCAAGTTTCCTGTAAAGTCTTTTGAAACTCTAAAACATTGAAAACAGAGTTAAAACACCTGCATAAGACATAATTATAATCCATAAAAGTGGTCAAAATACGGTGTTATCAACTCCCCCAGACTTACCTTTTTGTTTCTCCTCAAACAAACTTAAGTCAGGAAAGAAAATTTTGAAAAATCGCAGGAACTAAACAATATCTCAGTGACCGTCCTTCTAAACCATAACTTATCGTGAAATATCTAATTGGATCTAGTCTAGAAAATTATCACCAAAATACAAGCAAACTAGTCCGTTAATCCGTCATGCGAAAATCTACACACTTAGATCTAACTTCCAGTCAACTAGCTCTCTACATTCATTAAATATATTGTGAGTTCTCATCAAAGACATTATTCAGGGTAGACGGCGTTTAACGTTAAAGGCTATTTAAGTGGTGGAGCTTAGGTGTTTAGGGTTACCTGAAGAATATGGAGGATGCTAGATATTATGCAAAACCGCAAGAGAGAGACGGACCTGTTGATGACCGCAGATTTTCAGTCACTTCTCCTTGCCAAATGTTGTTGCATAATCTTCCTCCTTTGTTGTAAACAGCTGTTCCCCCAGACTTAGATCTTTTCCGGGAATCATAAAGATAATCTCCAAAACTCTATATAATCGAACTCAAGCTTGTCTCAAGTATAAAATTCGATCCTCCTAGACTCTCTAAGGTTTTAAATTTCCTCTCCCTTCTTTTTTTTTTTTTTTTTTCGAAAAGAGGAAGCAACCTTTAATAGAGAGAAAGTCTAAGGGACGAAATTGTACCAAGATTTTGAAGTTTTTCAGAGGCAAACTGAATTATCTCCTTTTGTTGAATTATTCCAATGAAATCGCAGGTCTCCGTCTTCAGTGACTGAAAACCGCGTTGATCCTCTTTCTCTCCGACGTTTTTGCACATGTCTGCATATAGAACAATGAAAAAAAGAATGCATGTGGTTTGAAAGAGGTTAGGTTCGGTGGGGAACTAGCTAAAGATAAACTAGCCATTCAGGATCAACAAAGAGTGGTAAAAGGGTAAAGGAGTCCTGAATGTATGATTCGTTTCCCTGATCTAACGCTTTAATGAGAAAATTAAGTCAAAATTAAGTCCAGATTAAATGAGCTAGTATATCCTGTCAGAAAGAATCTCCATGAATAGAAGTCCTCTGGTGGGATTTCGTAATGCAAGTACTTAGCTACCGCCTAGTCTAGGCCTAAATCACAAAAGAGCAAAAAACGAGGAAATAGCGTAGAAGCACACTGGTCTAATTCATCATAGTAATGTTTACTGTGTTCCTGGTTTGAAAACTTTTTGAAAAACATTTTTGAAAACAATTTTTGAAAAACATTTTGGAAAAAAAAAACTTTTTGAAAAATTTTATGTGTCCAAAACAAACTCAAAACAAATCAAATTTCATTAGTAACGGATGAACATCCTCCCCCAGACTTATTTCACACTGTCCTCAGTGTGATAAATCTTGGAAAAATGGTAAAGAAAATAGAAAAGTTGAAATGTTTAAGTGAACTTATCGTGCTGGAGAGTACTGCTCGCCCTTTGTATTTGTTCTTCCTTATTGAAAACCTGAATTTAAATGAAACAGAAACAAAGCAATGGAAATAGAAAATAAAGGTCAAAGGGAAATAGATAAAATACCAAGTGGGTTGCCTCCCACTAAGCGCTTGTTTCAAGTCATTAGCTTGACATTGTTGCTCGATTAGACTTAACCGGGGTCGTGACACTCCTTGATCTCATCATTGGCCGATGATGGATCAATCAAAAACATCACTTCTCTCTCGTCTTCTCTTTCTTCAGCCATGTATGGCTTTACACGCTGTCCATTCACTGTAAATGAGTTTCCGGTTCTGTCCCACAGGACAATGGCTCCATATGGCTTGACTTCCTGTATTGTGAAGGGCCCTGACCATCTTGAACTTAATTTTCCTGGAAAAAGCTTAAGACGAGAATTGAAAAGAAGTACCTTATCGTTAGGAGCAAAAGTTCTATGAATGATCTTTTTATCATGATATGCTTTAGTCTTCTCCTTGTAGATCTTTGAGTTTTCGTAAGCATTGTGTCGGATTTCTTCTAACTCGTGAAGTTGAAGTAGTCTTCTTTCTCCAACTGTTTTCATATTCATGTTCATCTCCTTGATAGCCCATTGCGCCTTATACTCGAGTTCTACTGGAAGGTGACATGCTTTTCCATAAACTAGATTGAATGGTGTTGTTCCTAATGGTGTCTTGAATGCTGTTCGATACGCCCATAATGCGTCGTCAAGCTTTGTAGACCAATCCTTGCGATGAACTGCAATTGTTTTCTGCAAAATCGACTTGATTTCTCTGTTTGAGATCTCTACTTGACCGCTGGTTTGGGGATGGTATGGTGAAGCAACTTTATGTGTAACTCCATTCTTTCTAAGAAGATTCTCGAAAACTCTGTTGATGAAATGCGATCCTCCGTCGCTTATCACAATTCTAGGAACTCCAAAACGCGGGAATATAACAGATTTAAACAGCTTCATGACAACTTTCGCATCATTTGTGGGGCTAGCGACTGCTTCAACCCACTTAGAGACGTAGTCTACTGCTACTAAGATGTATTGGTTTCCAAAAGAAGTAGGAAAGGGTCCCATAAAATCTATTCCCCAAACATCGAAAATTTTGACTTTGAGAATAAAATTTTGAGGCATTTCATTCCTTTTACTTATGTTGCCCATCCTTTGGCATTTATCGCATCGCGATATATAATCTTGAGTATCTTTGAACAAAGTAGGCCACCAAAAACCAGCTTGTAAGATCTTTGAAGCGGTTTTGAAGGTTGCAAAGTGTCCTGCGTAAGACGAGCTATGGCATCCGAATAAGATTCCTTCCATCTCTTCTTCAGCCACGCATCTTCGGAATAACCCATCAGCACATCTCTTATAGAGATAGGGTTCATCCCAAAAATAATGTCTTATGTCTTTTAGAAACCTTTTCTTCCTATAACCAAAGAATTGTGGTGGTTCTACATCGGTTGCTAAGTAATTCGCTATGTGCCTAAACCATGGGGTGTTGAAAGCATCTGCTCGTCGCATTAGAGGACGTGGTGGTGCGGTATTGGCATTGGGGGGTAGTATCTATTGCATAGATGTTTTCTTCAGGCAAACTGTCATTTAAGGGCAATCTTTCTTCAACTCGAATTCATGAAAGATGGTCTGCAACTCCATTATCTGCTCCTTTCCGATCTCGAATTTCGATATCGAATTCTTGCAGTAGGAGGATCCATCTTATCAACCGAGGTTTATCGTCTTTCTTAGACATTAAATACTTGATTGCAGCATGATCAGTATGAACTATAACCTTAGATCTTACGAGATAAGAACGGAATTTCTCAAATGCAAATACGACAACTAGAAGTTCTTTCTCTGTTGTAGCATAATTGCATTGAGCTTCATCTAGAGTTCTGCTTGCGTAGTAGATTACGTGCAGTTTCT